TCTTCACTTCGAAGCGCTTCCGTCCGACCACTGCCTGCGTTGAGCTCGAGGGCAGTTCAGTGCTGTTCGCCTCCCCGTTGTTGCCCTCCACGTCCATCTCGTCCTCGTAGTCCGCCATCACTTGATTCAGTCCACACTTCTTCGGCAAAACACACAACCAATGGATCGCTTATATGAGACGTGAATTCAATTTGTGTCTCAAATCTGACGTTCAATTCAATGATAATTCACTGCAAATGAAGTGCTCTTCGACTCAAACACACAATAAAACACACAATCATTGAGTGTCTGACGCGCGCGCACTCTATGCCACACATGCGTTCACTTTGCGTTCATTGCTTGTAGACATTATCCGTACGATTATAACGCTAAACATCCATAAGATTATTATTTACGAATGTTTTTCAATTATGTAATGCATTCGTCAATAACGTCGAGAAATGACTTAATGTTTGAAACCCTTTATAAAAGACTAATTGAAAAAACATTGCGTTTATAATAAACCCAAAGAAGTAATTGTTATATACTTTGTGTTTATTAGTAAACGATTGAAAACATCGCGATTTTCAACAATAATCACGTGATTTGATTGTAAAGCCAAACACATGTCTCGGAAGCGCATCCAAAGTGTGGTATTTGTGTTGAATTGAGCGCACAATCAGTGGTGATGTCCTCAACGAGTGGTCAGACGTCGGCTCAGATCGTCGGCGTCTCCTTTGGGATCATAAGTAAGGATGAGATCAAGAAATTAAGTGTTTTGAATGTCGAGACGTGGAAGACGTTCGACGAGTTGTCTCATCCCCGAGAAGGAGGTCTTTGCGACTCAGCGTTCGGTAAGCGATGGCACAGACATGTGTGGACACGAGTGTATGGATGTGTTGAGTGATTGCGTGTGTTGTGTATTACAGGTCCGGCCAAAAGGGATGAGATGTGCGCCACTTGTGGTCTCTCGGAGTTTGACTGTTGCGGACATTACGGTCACATCAATCTATCGCTTCCCGTCTTTAATCCATTCCTCATTAAACAGTTATTTCAGGTCTGATTTGAGGGATGAACTGATGAAAGTGTGAATGAATTAAACTGATGTAATGCTGTGCTAATAGGTGCTGAAGATGTGTTGCTTTGAGTGCCATCACCTTCTCTTCTCTCCCACCGATTTGGAGATAAAGATCGCGCAAATGGAAGCGTTAAGCCGTGGCCTCGATATCATTCTCGAGGATTTGCAAGCGTTTGGTTCTTCGCTGACGACTGACAACATAGGTTTGGACGCCGTTTCCATCCGATTATATGTCAGACAGAAGTTAAAGGAAAAGATAGACGAAGAATATAATAAACGGTTCACTAAATCTGTTAAAAATGGTTTGAATGTGAAAAATATAGTTGAAAAGCAACAAATGGTTTACAAAGAGTTTCTGACCGGAAAGCTATTGAAGCCAAACAAGAAATGCCTTCAGTGCGCGGCTCTGAAGAATAGCTTAACGGTTCTCAACAACGCGTTGATTATAATGAATGAATCGAAATCAAAAGCGAGCAAAAAAATTATAGGCGCCGATCAGATAGAAGATATGGCTGTTATGGATATGACAGCAGTTAGAGGTAAATCACATTTGACTCCACTTATGGCACGAAATCATTTGCGAACTCTTTGGTCCAACGAAAAGGAATCGCTTCTCAGAATATAATTTCTTGTATTTGGGGCGAAAAATACAGGACTCGAAGAATGAAACTCTATTTAATGATGTGATGGTTGAACCCAACTATTCTTATTGGACAGTCGGCTATTTGATCACTGGATTGGGTGCACACAAATTGATTGACGCAAAACCATTGGACCAATTGATTCCTGTGGACGAGTTTTTGCCCGTAATGTACGACAAACACACCGACGATATGATGAAACATCACTTCCCGGTTCGCAATCTGCGAGCACTCAGTGTTTATCCGCTACTTATATACCCGACTCATTACGTCGGCGACAATCACTATATCAGTGATACCGAAGATTCGCATAAAACTGAATTAAACGCCAATTCTTTGCATCCAAAGCATACAGAATTGTAATCTTATTTATTTATTATACAAATGAGTCATTATTTCTAATCATTTATAGAAACATTTTTAAATATTTATATATTTTACAATTACTGTACTTAATAGTTGTCTAATTTTACAATTTTTAAATGTATTATTGATTGTCTTTAGAATCTCTCCAAATAAATGCCAAACATTTAAAGAGTATTTTATGTGTAATCGTTAATTAATAATAATTATTACTAATATAAACCATAAAACTGTTGATTATTTTGCGATAAAAGCATAATATTTGACAGAACTTAAATTAACAAAACTTTGTAAACAAGTGTAAACATGTTAGAATTGAACTAAAATTGAAACAAATATTTCTCACATGTTTAGGCAATGAATATTTTCAAAGATGGTTTTGATACTAATTTAAAAGTAATATATTTAAAATATTTACATCATTTATTCTTGGAGTGCATTAAAACGTAAATATTATAACCGTAAACATATACAGACGAGCAGAACTATATTCCGATAGATTTCCTTTATTATTCTTAACCCAAAAGTACTTTTTAGAAAATATTTTTATCAAAGAAGTTACAGTATGTATTTATGAGACGGATATATTGGGTATTTCAAAATTTTGTTAGCCCTCTTTGCATTTGTGTACGGAGAGGTCTTTTTTATTACAACATTTTTTAATCTTCTAAATTATATTCTTTAAAATAACACATAGTAAATTTAAAAATTAGCTCTTATAAATTGTTAGTAAATTTTAACATTTTGACATTGATTTTTAAAATTGTCCTAGTAAATTTTAATTGGGAGCGCTTTGTTGTGCAACACCCCTATATCGGTGCACAACCACCAGGAGGTATATTGAAATTTTAGAATAGACCAAATACATTTCAAGATATTCGAGTTTACTTTTAGGTTATTCGAGATATTCGAGTTTACTTATTAATCTCCACCCTGTAAATAGATAGTAATATAGAGTATGAATATATTAGTAAGGTGAAAGATAATATTCCTGAATGAAATATCCACACAATATTGGCGCAGAAATTAAAACTTTTAAACCAGATTTAAAATCTAGTTTTGTTAATTTTAGTTACTAAATATACCCATTGGCCAAAATGTTAAATCTAGATGATCATAAAAATATATAAGTGCCATTTTAACACAGGAAGACATTGCAAGAATTTGGTGTCCCTTTTTATTAAATATAAAGAAACATTTATATTCTAAAATAGATTGAATGTGGGTGACTAATGCGTAATGTTAGACCCAATAAATTAACTATAATACATATAAATACATTTACATTACAGTAATTAACCATCATCAATAATCATCGTCATTAGTTGCAATCATATCGATGTTTATTCCATATGAATGTTCTAAAGAGCCATATCTTATAACTTATAAGTTATAAGTAAATGGGATGAAACGTAAATATCAATTAACTCATTAATCTATATTGAAGTCAAAGCACTTGAAGGTGGGCTGAGAAGGGAGGGGTTCAATAAACTTGAAATATAGTACATATTTTGCTATTTTAATATCACTTATCCATAATTTACTTTCCATTTCATCTCGAATTCGTTCAATTGTTTTAAACCATTTATAGAAAACGTGATTTAATGGACTGCTAATAGATTTATACCTTTTTTAGACAATAAATATTTACTTAATTCCTACAAACAATGGGTTAATACAAATATAAATAATTTATGCAATTTATGAAATGACAACTAAATGGCAATTGATATTTGAATATATTGAAGAAACACACAATAAGATGGATTGCATAGAATATACAAAGTATACATGACAGTACTATTCTGCAAATTTACTTATATATCAATATCTTAATGAATATATCTTACAATTTAATAATATAAAAGTAACATTTACATAAAACCTACTCTTTGTTTTCGAGACTTATAAAACAGATCTAACAGTACTTCTCGTTTCAGTTTCAATATAGTTTCGCTGACTTTCTTATCAAACAATTCATTCGTATTGTGAAACAAATATGAATTATCAACGAATTTATTTCTCATTCACAGTCATCTACGCTATAATTGTTATATTTTCCATATCTTTTCAGTCGTGTGAAGCAAACGGTAATTATATTTTTAATTTCCGGTCAAGCGTTTGATAAAATTTATTAAACTAAAAATCAAATAAATTTATTCAACTTAAAAGTTATATTGTATATTATAATATGTTACCAAAATATATTTACGTTTAAGTGATTTATTTCATGTTTTTAATTGACATAATTTACTTTTATGGATTATTTTGTACATTTTGTATATTGAATACAAGAATTAAGTTAAAAGTCTTGTTTTAAAGGTAAGAAATGCCAACAATACGGACACTCATGTCTTGGAGGACATGGAAAACGAAGTGAAGAGTTGTCGTCAGGAGTTGTTCAGCACTTCTCGGAATTGCAACGAATTAATGATCCGCTTTTGGAGAGAATGGCTAACCTTTTAAGGCTTATGATTGGACAGCGAATGAACACATATCAGAGACAGGCGGAAAATACTCAACAGAATATTGAAGATTTCGATACCACTAACTAATAAGACATATAAAGTTCATCAATACTTTGTGTACTTCTCACTACCAATAATTGAATGCATTATTAATACTTGAAACCCTTTTAATTACATTATCAAACACTTACTGTAAATGAAACCAGATTATAATAATTATTGTTACAAATGAATAAAAGATTCTAATTTAAAATACAAACTTTTGTTCTTTCATTTGCTTACATGTAATGTTCTGTATTTACATCTAAACTTTGCATATGTTTGCCCGCAGTGTGGAAGGCATTTATGAATTCTTAAAATACAGAATATTCTTGTTTATAAATGTGTTACAATAAAATTCTCAGCAATTATGATTGCGATTAATTTTGGTTAACTTTAGCGCATACTATACAGTAGTTTAAGTTAATTAAGTTAAAAAGTAGAAAACAATTTCACAGATTTGTAATAATAAATGAGTGGTTAACTAAATTTAGTGTAATTTATGAACCATTAATAAATAACTAGTCCAGTTCCTAGTTGTCTAGTTATCTAAAGATACATCTAATAGACACTGGTTTATAAATTATAATGCAAGACAAAAATGTAATAACAGTGTATTTAATTCCCAATTCTAAACAAGCATTTAGAGCTAGATTTGCTTTCAAAGAGATTTTTAATTTTCTCGAAATTCTCAATTCTTTTATTGCTTTAAATATTTTGTGATTGAAAATAATCAGTTGTATTCAAATACAGTATATTTACGTTTAATACAAGTAACACTTTTATTATATCTATTAAATTAGGGCTATTAAGTACTGTTAATTCAATTGTATAAATAAGAATGTCTAAAGAATTTGCAAATTACAATGTAGGTTTGTAAAAACCATCACACCTATAACTAGGTAAAGTTGCACTCTTTGTGTGAAATGTTTACTATACTGTAGTTGCATGCAATTATATTGGACGTAATGCGGTCATCGATGATCATACGGTGTATTACCAATCATACTGTACCGTGATGGTATAGAAGATCAAGTTTTAACCCAAATGTTGAGCCAATCATCATTTGGTTTATGGGAACCCAATAGGCCTTATGATCGCACAAACGGTTTGTAACAAATCCTTTTATTTACTACTGTTTTAATGTTTAAAAGATACCATCATTGAAAACACATGCCATTTACAACAGTATATTCAGTTTAAAATTTTTAAACGTTATGTAAATTAAGCTTAAATTACTTTTAATCATTTTAATTAAATAAGTTTTGATACAAACTTGAAAAATATTAAGAAATTTTGTCTTTAATTTAAATCAAAATTCAACACTAATTTAATGAAAGCAATAATAATAATATCATTAATAAGAAAAGTATTGGTTTTTTAAAAATTTCAATTAAATTTAGTATTGAATTGACGTTTGAATACAAGAATTGAAAGCAAAGACAAAAAGTTTGAGAAAAAAGGAGAAGAAATAGTGGTTTTCGGCAGAGAATGAGGGATCGGGTGATCACAGGTTGGGAGTCCTTTAGTGGCCGTACTTCTGGAACTCCCACTCGCGGTTGTCGAGCGGACACACCTGTCGAGTCTTCAGCCATCGGGAGATGCAGTGGAAGTGAAAGGCGTGGTTACAGACACCCCACGCGACGGTGCACTCCTCCGAAGTGGCCGACGCCTGATTGGCCTGACATTCAATGCACAGATCCATTATATGGTTGCGACAAATGGCACAGTTGTCCACAACTATATCCCACGCCCAGAGCGCCACCGCCGACCACTTCTTCACTTCGAAGCGCTTCCGTCCGACCACTGCCTGCGTTGAGCTCGAGGGCAGTTCAGTGCTGTTCGCCTCCCCGTTGTTGCCCTCCACGTCCATCTCGTCCTCGTAGTCCGCCATCACTTGATT